ATTAGAAAAAGGAGAGAGAAAGGAAAACGCAGCTATGTCGTCAGGAGAAAGGGATGGAAGAAATGCAGAGACAGAGAAGACACTGAGAAAAAAAAATATGCCAGGTGGTTGGGAAGAAGAAAAGGAAGGAAGGCAGAGAGAGACAAGAAACTGAGAAAAAAAACAAGAAAGAAAGATTAAAAAAAAAAAATACACCCCAAGGGAGCCCATTGGAAGTGGGTCCCCAGCCGAGTGGTGCTACACAGCATATCTAGAGGAGCAGAGATGGCACACGGCTCCAGGTGTTCAGGACAAGTGTAAGGAAGGAAAGGAGAGAGAGACTAGAAACTGAGAAAAAAAGAAGAAAGTAAAGAAAGAAAATAAAATGCCCCAAGGGAGCTCACTGGAAGTGGATCCCCAGCTGAGGGGCATTGCACAGCCTATCAAGAAGGATAGAAGATGGCACACGTTGCCAGGTGTTCAGGAGAAGTGTAAGGAGGGAAGGTAGAGGGAGACAAGAACTCAAGAAAAGAAAAAAAAGAAAAAGTCTCCAAGGGAGCCCACTGGCTTGGCGACTTGGATTGGGGAAGTGGCTCCCAAGCCACCAGGCACTGCACAGCCTGTTTAGAAGGGGCAGAGATGGCACACAGCACCAGGTATTCAGGAGACAGGAAAGGAAGGAAAGTAGAGAGAGAAGAGAAACCAAGAAATGAAGAAAAATGAAAAGGAAATAAGAAAAATAAAAAATAACAATAAATAAATAAAAAAGAGACATTTCCCCAGGGATCCCACCAGCATAGCAGAGTGGACCAGGGAAGTGGCTTCAAAGCTGCTCAGCACTGCATAGCCTGTCTAGAAGAATCAGAGGTGGCACACATCACCAGGTGTTCAGGAGAAAAGAAAGGAATGATGGTAGAGAGAGACAATGAAATTGAGAAAAGAAAAAAAAGTCCCCAAGGGAGTCCAGTGGCTTGGTGGTGCAGACTCGGGAAGTGGCTCCCAAGCCACTAGGCACTGCACAGTCCATTTAGATGCTGCAGAGATGGCACACAGCACCAGCTGTTCAGGAGACAGGTGAAGTAGAAAAGTAGGAGACGAGAGACTGAGAAATGAAGAAAAACAAAAAGGAAAAAAGAAAAAGTCCCCAGGGATCCCACCAGCTTGGTGGCACGGACTGGGGAAGCAGTTCCCCAGCTGAGCAGCACTTCACAGCCTCCGAAGAAGAAGCAGAGATAGCACGTGGAGCCTGGTGTTTGAGAAAAAAGAAGGGAAGGAGATGAGAGAAAGAAAAGAAACCTAAAGAACCAAAAAAAGCAATAACAGCATCAAAAGGTGGCACTGAAGGAAACAGCTGGTGTGGATGGGATGAATCCAAGTGCTGGGAAGTTGTGGAGGCTGAGCAGGAGGATGAAGGGTGGGGAGTGGGAAAGTGTGTATCTCTGGTTACCGGGTGCTCTGTCTCCTGCTGGGAGCTCTGTGAAGCTTCCTTCCCATACTCCCTGCCTGCCGATCTCGGTGGCTGAGGAGTACAAGGTGGCGAATCTGAGCTTCATTAGCTGATAGGGGACCTTCACTCGGTATCTCTCCTCACTCTCTGTTCTCTGTCAGTTTCTTATTCCATTTGGTGCTTGGTTGAGTTCTTTTTCTCTTCATTTGATGCGTAGGGTTCCAGGATTGATGTTTGTCTTTGTTTTATTTAGTTTTTTTTTTTGGTCTTTGCTGTGGAGGGACGGCATGGTGTTGGCTCTGTCCCTTTTTCCTGTCTTTTCAATGACTTTGTTTTCTTCATGTATGATGTCCTTGATGTCATTCCACAACTCTTCTGGCCTTTGGTCATTAGTGTTCAATGAGTCAAATCTATTCTTGAGACGGTCTCTAAATTCAGGTGGGATATAGTCAAGGTGGTATTTTGGCTCTCATGGACTTGTTTTAATTTTCTTCAGCTTCAGCTTGAACTTGCATATGAATAGTTGATGGTCTGTTCTCCAGTCAGCCACTGGCCTTATTCTGACTGATGACAGGTGTAGTCGATTTGATTCTTGTGTATTTCAACTGGCGAGGTCCAGGTGTATAGTCCTCGTTTATGTTGTTGAAAAAAGGTATTTACAAAGAGTAAGTTTTGGTACTGCAAAATTCTATCACGTGCTCTCCAACATCATTTCTATCACCAAGGCCATATTTTCCAACTACCGATCTTTCTTCTTTGTTTCCAACTTTCTCATTTGAATCACTAGCAATTATCAGTGCATCTTGATTGCATGTTTGATCAATTTCAGACTGCAGAAGTTGAAATCTTCAATTTCCTCAACTTTGGCATTAGTGGTTGATGAGTAAATTTGAATAATAGTCATATCATCTGGTCTTCTTTGTAGGCATATGGATATTATCCTATTACTGACAGCACTGTACTTCAGGATAGATGTTAAAAGTTCTTTTTGATGATGAATGCATTGCCATTTCTCTTCACATGCCATTCCCAGCTTAGTAGACCATACGATTGTCTGATTCAGAATGGCCAAGACCAGTCCGTTTCAGCTCACTAATGCCTAGGATGTCGAGTTTTATGTGTTCCATTTCATTTTGATACCTTCAAATTTTCCTAGATTCATGCTTCATACATTTCACGTTCTGATTATTAATGGATGTTTGCTTCTGTTTCTTCTCATTTTGAGTTGTGCCATGTCAGCAAATGAAGGTCTCGAAAGCTTGACGCCATCCACCTCATTAAGGTCAACTCTACTTTGAGGAGGCAGCTCTCCCTCAGTCATATTTTGAGCGCCTTCAAACCTGAGGTGATCATCTTCTGGTACTATAACAGACAATGTTCCACTGCTATTCATAAGGTTTTCACTGGTCAGTTTTTTTCAGAGGTAGACTGCCAGATCCTTCTTCTTAGTCTGTCTTGGTCTGGAAGCTCCTCTGAAACCTGTCCACCATGGGTGACCCTGCTGGTATTTGAAATACCAGTGGCAAAACTTCCAATATCACAGCAACACGCAAGCCACCACAATACAACAAACTGACAGAGGCGTGTATATAAAGTTTGCCATTTTAACCATTTTTAAGTGTAGAATTCAATGATATTAATTATGTTCATCATGTTATGCTACCATCACCTTTATCCATTTCCAAAAGTTTTACATCACTCCAGATAGAAAGTCAGTACCCTTTAAGCAGTAACTCCCAATTCCCCTCCCCTAGGCCCTGATGGCACAGTGGTTAAGAGCTTGGCTGCTAACTAAACATCAGCACTACTTGGAAACCCTATGGGGTACTTCTACTCTGTCCTATAGGGTTGCTATGAGTCGGAATATGCATTGGCCAAAGTCTCTAGGTGGTTTGTGCAAATGATTTGTGTTCGACTAACCTGTAGGTTAATACCAAGAGGTACTGCAGAAGAAAAATCCTGTCCATCTGCTTCAAATATTACAGCCAAGACAACCCTATGGAAGAATTCTACTCTGTAACCAGGGTCACATTTAGTTGAAATGGACTTGATTGCAACTAACAACAAGAACAACATACATTGGCATATTCTAGATATTTCATGTAAGTAGGAGCATATAATATTTGTCCTTTTGTGTCTGACTTATTTCACCCGAGAGATCTTTGAAAAACATAATTCAGATTACATAAGTCCATTACCTAAACTTCTTCAATGGTTTCTTGTAGCTGTTTAGACTAAAGTCCAAACTCCTTACAAAGAAGACCTGGCTCTTCCCCATCCCTCTGATCTTATCTTATTCATTCCCGCACTCTCTACAGACCAGTCCCTCTACTGTGTTGTTGTTGGTAGCTGTTGTTGACTCCTGACTCATGGTGACCCATGCACAACAAAATGCTGTCAGGTCTTGCGCCATCCCCATGATCGGTTGGGGATTGGACCGTTGTGATCCATAGAGTTGTCATTGGTTGCTTTTCAGAAGTAGATCGTCAGATGTTTCTTCCTAGTCCATCTTAGTCTGGAAGTTCTAATGAAACCTATTCAGCATCATGTTGTTGTCGTTATTGTCGTTAGGTGCTGTTGAGTCAGTTCCAACTCATAGCAACCCTACAAGACAGAGTAGAACTGCCTTATAGGGTTTCCAAGGAGCGGCTGGTGGATTTGAACTGCTGACCTTTTGCTTAGCAGCTGAGCTCTCAACTACTATCCCACCAGGGCTCCTTCAGCATCATAACAACATGCAAGTCTCCACTGACAGATAGGTGGTAGTTGTGCATGAGGTGTATTGGCTGGGAATTGAACTTAGGTTTCCCACATGGAAGGTGACAATCCTACCACTGAACCACCAATGCCCCCCTATACTGTGTAGTCATATTTATTCCTCAAATATGTTGATTTTTCTCACCTTAGGGCATTTGCACTAGCTGTTCACTCAGCGTGGGGTTCTCCTCTCACTCATCTTTGCAGGGCTGGCACCTTCTTTTCATTCAGTTTTCAGATCAAAATACAACCCCTTCACAAAAATCATTACTGAACACCCTCCCTAAAGTATTTGCTGACTAGTCATTCTAACAGATCACTCAACTGTACTTTTCTTTATATCACTTACATCTGACAATATTTATTTGTTTATTGTCTGTCTTCCCTACTAGAATCTACGCTCTATCACAGCAGGGACTCTGTCTTGTTTACTATTATATTCTTGATGCCTTGAACAGTATAAACAGTCTACAACCCCTAGTAGGTGCTCAATAAATATTTGTTTAATAAATCAATGACATGGATTTTATGTCCTTTGCAATTTCCAAATTCTGGGAGAGAACAACTGGGCTGTCCTTTTGTGTGTGTGTGTGTGTGTGGAGGCTTTATCTTTTTCATTTTTTCCTTTCACTTCTTCACCATCTCCTCAACAGTAACAAAATCCCAACAAAGCTATAAAGATATTAGGAGGAATATTAGAAAGAATACTTTCTGCAAAAGCCTATAAATCAGAGGATTGTGTAGAGAAGTTACTCTAATCTACACACCCCCAGCTGGAACGCACCCAATGACTTGAGTGTGATGATAAGACAGGTCCCACAGCAGCCAGGGCCTAGGGCTAAGTGTGAAACAGCATCTGCTGCAGTTCAGGCATGGGAGAGTTTCTGGAACAGTTCTTCATTTTTGTAGGGGTGCTGGTGTGCCTGGTCTACCTGGTGAAGTGTGTGAAATTCGCCAAATGTATTTTCCTGCACTTTTGGAAAGTTTTACCAAGGTCTTTCGCGCAGTCAATGGGACAGTGGGCAGGTAAAGAAAGTTTTTCATTTCTTGTTGTCTGGTGTTTCTGTCTTATTATTTACATCTAAAAAGATATATTTCATCTTTTTGCATTGAGAGCAAAGGTGTAATTCCCTTGGATGGTTGTAATTTGGGGGAATAGAAGGCATGAGTGAAATTAGAATTGTCAGGAAAACAAGATGTGCGGCAGGAAGAAAATAACTAGGGAGAAACTTTACTCAAGTGTTCCCTTTGTTCCTGTCCTCTAATTCTCATTAACTGAGTTTTCCTCTTTCTGGAGTTCTCTGATGATACCGAAATATAAATAATGCAGAAATTTCTGCATCCTCGCCTCCAAATTTACAAAATCCCAGGGTGCTTCCATTTTGTTCAGTGTTATTTCAAATTTCTCAAATCTAAATAATTTTAATTCACTTGATTTTTTAAAAAGATTCTCCAATTCCTGTTATGACGTGAGGGTGTTACAAAATCAAGGCAACAAAGACCTACTTGGAATCATGCTTTCAAGGCGGTTAGATATGGAATCTAGGTCTGGTGTGTCCCAAATCTATTAAACACTCTTTCAAAAGGCAGCTTATCTACTGGAACCATCACGTGGAATTTCAGCCCATTACACTTAAGGTGAAGGGGATGAGGGTTTCAGCATTTTCTTGAATGAAGTGCTGTGGTCTCTGCTGGGGTTATTGTTTCCAGGTTGGGCACCAAGAAATCCAATGACTTAAAAAAATAATAATTGAAGCTACTTTAGAAATACCATCTCAGCCTAAGTAGGGAAGATAGTAAACAATCCCCATGAATAAGCCAGATAAAATACAGGACACACAGTTAAATTTGAATTTCAGATAAAACCCAAAACCACACTTGCTGTCAAGTTGATTCTGGCTCATGGCAACCTCATGTGTTATTGAGTAGAACTTCTCTATGGGGTTTTCTCAGCTGTAATATTTATTGAAGCAGATAGCCAGTCCTTTCTTTCGCAGCACCTCTGGGTGGGTTTGAACCACCAACTTTTAGGTTAGTGCTGTTGTTGTGTGCCATCGAGTCAATTCTGACTCACAGGGACCCTATAATAGTTAAGTGCAAATCATTTGCACCACCTAGGGACCTCTGAATGTCAGATAAACAACAAATAAATTTTTAGTGTATTATGTCTCAAATTTTGCACAAGACACACTTACATTAAAAAATTATTTGTTGTTTATCTGAAATTCAAATTTAACTTGGTATCCTGTATCTTTCATGGATCATGCTTTTGTTGTTGTATCTAAAAAGTCACTGCCAAACCCAAGACCACCTACCTAGATTTTCTCCTGTATCATCTTCTAGAAGTTGAATAGTTTGTATCTTATATTTAGGTCTATGATTCATTTTGAGTTAGTATTTGTGAAAGAAGTAAGCTCTGAGTCTAGATTTTTTGTTTTTTTTTTTTTTGTTTTTTTTAACTATAGATCATACACAAAAGCATCTCAATAGACTTCTACCACCCTAAGGGACTCTTCCTCAGGGGTATTCCGGCCTTCTTTGTGGCATTTGCTTCTCATTTTAAATTCATAAAGAATGGTATTAAGTTGTTATTATTGCAACCAGTATAGCGATATTTGTAAGTGCTATTATAGAAGTGAATAGATTTACTCTGTTTAAATTAAAGCCACTTGTTCACCAGGGGAGCCATTTGTTAATCTTGACTTTGTCTATATTTTTTAATATATTTAAAAATGTGGGCAAAATAAACATGAACTATATAATCTCAAAAGTTGTAAGGGGCAGGATGGGTGCATATAGGATAATCTTGCACTATAATAATAATCTCCCTCATGGCATCCCTGAAAGAATATCATCTTACTCATACTTAAATCTTTATAGTGACAGGAACTCGTTCATTCATAAGGCAACTTATCTCATTAAAGCTTTTTTTTTCTTTTAT